TGACACAAAATTCTAAGGTGCTTTCCATTCTAACAAAAATCTTAAATGCTTTTAACAATATAATAATAAAAATAAGGCCATGACAAAGCTGCTATAACCTTTTTAAAGTAAAATATTCACCTGTTTAAAAAATGAAACAGTGTTAATCTTCACAAAACCCAAAATGCAAACTAAAAAGGTAAAACTTAAAATTATGGCTAATTGTATGCCTCATCTGTAAATCACAGACAATGTAGTTCATTCAAGTGCCTGTTGCAAGGTGGGCTGGGAGTTGTGTGCTGCTTAGAAGAGAACCAAGAACCTGATCCCTAGCACTGCGAGGTGAAAAATCACCACCATCATCAAATGAGTATCGTGAAAGTAATCTTAATTTGACTACATAAAAACAAATACTCCTCACTGCAATATTTAGGATTACGTTCTCACTTCACAATTAGAACCAGTACTGTCCCATGGAGAATTTACAGCCAAACCTTTTCCAATCTTGCACACATGCACACGCGCGCGCACACACTAACACACATACACCCCAGAAACAAATTAAGCACTCTGAATTTTTTTCCCTTTGGCAAGATGAATGCAAAAAGTAATCCTGCTCACAACAAGCAAGGTGAATGCAAAACCAAGTAACCTTGGCCTCTGCATTGCAGAGGAAGACAGCGTGCAACCAACAGAGAGGCTAACACATTACTATCCAAAATCACAAGGAAATCCCAGGTGTTAGCCAAAGAGATTTTACTTATAAAATAGTTGAAGATTAAAAAAAAAAGTTCAGGATGGGCATATTTCAAAGTAATTAATATAAACTGTTTAACAACTGCATCTAAGTATAGGCACAGTGCCGTATTTTAGAAAACTGTTGTATTCAATCATAATTTGCACCCTTCTCACAAATAGTATTAACTGCAAAGACATGCAGCATATACAAGTCTTTAGAGAGTGCTGTAAGACTTTTGGCTATCAGTTTTGGTTAAATATTGAGTATTAAGCTGCCAGGGTATTCTGTTTTCTGAGCAATAGAACAAATATATTAAAATATCCTTTATTCTACATCAAAACTGATTACATCTTACAATGTTAAGTGAGCTCTCTTCAGTTAAAATTAATTGATTTCAAAACACCACCTTACAGGGCCAGGGAGATGGCTCAGTGGAATAAGCGCTTTCCCTGGCAAGCGCAAGGGCCCAAGTTCAATCCCTGGTTCCGCAAAAAAACACCACCTTACAAACCCTGAGGCCCAGTTTATGTATGAGTGAACTGAGTAAGAATAACCAGGTAGTAAAATCACTCATTTCAGCATTACTTGGCTTTAATCAGAAGGCTTACAAATAAAAGCTTTCTGATTCATCATAGAAAACTTCTGATTTCTTCTCTTTGCTAAACATTTATGTACTTTTATTAGCCCAAATTTCAAAAACCAAGCCATCTAACTGCATTATATAATAGGATATTTTGTTAATGTTAAACATACAGTCTCGCTAAGCAGATGTGCTGCCTTCCTCTAACGGCTCAGGTAACCAGAAAAATAGCTTTATTTTCTAAATGAAATACAATTTTTTTTTTCTTTCCAGAACCAGGGATTGAACTCAGGCCCTTGCACTTGCCAGGTAAGAACTTATTCACTGAGCTATCTCCCTGGCCCCAAAATCTTTTTTTTTTTTTTTTTGGCAGAACTGGTGATGGAACTCAGACCCTCGTACTTGCCAGGCCAAGTGCTTATTCTACTAAGCCATCTCCCCAGGCCCACAATTACGGTTTTGGCTCTTTTTGAGACAGTGTAGTTCAGACTGGGCCTGAATTCACTGTGTAGCCCAGGATGGCCTTGAACTCAGCAAGATTTTCTTGCCTCAGCCTGAGTACTGTAAAGGGCTATACCTGACCTACAATTATGTTTTAAAATATTACATATGTATTAGCAATTTATGTTGGCATACTTGGCTTTAGAATCCAATGGCAAACAACATTTTGGTACAAAAGCTTTAACAATCAAAGACAGTTTAAATGTACACTGCTAAATTCACTATTTAATAGAAATTCAGTTTGAAGAGTGTCCTTACTCTAGAAAGGCCACTAAAAAGAAATTTAGAATAGATGTGTAAAGCACATCCTATTCTATTCTAGGTGCACTAAAAATGCTCACTTAGGAACTGAGTGTGGTGGCCCATGCCTGTAATACCAGCACTCTGGGGGGGAGGGGGGAGATGAGTTCAAGGCCAAGCCTGCCGTACAGTGAGTGCAAGACCAGTCTGAATTGCAGAGTAAAATCCTGTCTCAAAAAAAAAAAAAAAAAAAAAATCAAAAGAGAAATACTTATTTCTATTGAAAAGTGAGCCAATTCTTAAATCTTCTCCTACAGCAAATCTAGCTACAGACAAAAAAAAAAAAAGAACCTTAATTTAAGGGAAAATCCAAATGTCTTGAATTTCCCAAAAAGTAAAATACAGGTTTAAAACCGTATCAATACTGTCACGTCAAGTATTTAACAAGTAGGTAGCTCAGTATGTGGCTTATCAAAAAGTCTCACCTAAGTGTAACTTGACCTTTTCTCCAATTAGCACTCAAAACACTGAGGCAAAAAATATACTATTTATTTCAATTTGTTTTTGTTGTTGTTTTGTTTTTGTGGAACCGGGGATTGAACTCAGGCCTTTGTGCTTCCCAGGGAAGGGCTTATTCCACTGAGCCATCTCCCCAGCCCCTTATTTCAATTTGTTAACTGTCCATTATTACAAGACAACCTTTCAGTATTTACTAGCCCAGTCAATAACTCTGTAGTAAAAAAAAAACTCTGTAGTAATTATAATTACACTACTTTCTCCTCTAAGGAGAAAAGGATGTCACTGTACAGCAAGTAATATGTATACATACAACACTGACAAATTATCGTTCAAGTCTTCTCATGGGATTTCTCAATTCTCTGTAATTTTTTTCCCATATACACATGAACACCAAAATGTGTAACCTCATAGATTAGCTGATAATCAACAGCTGACTTTTTATGTATGGTCACCTGTGAAAAAATTTTTAGTCACTAATGTAAAGTCTATAAAATATTACATCACAAATTTATGTTGATTCTTGTTCTAGAAGACTTCCTAGAAATTCTGACAAGTAAACCAATCACACAGATTGACAGCACCTGTTTAATGCACTATGACAGTCTCAATTTCAAGGAGAATAGCAAAAATTAAATCACATGTGCAGGCTTAGAAGATACTGGTTTTAGGGCAAACTTACTCTATTCCACACTTGAATGTACCTATTTTATGTTTAAAATACTTTTATTAGTTTGTTAATGTTTATTACTTCTAATAGAACTTGTATGTCAAAGGATTATTTAAAAAAAAAAACCTAGAAACTTCATTAAGGAAATCTGTCAACTTCAAATAAAGTCCAGGAAATTCAAGTAAAACCTCCAACCTTCAATATTCAAGGAAATGAGAAAAGAATCAAAGATAGACCGGTCATGATGAGGCAAGCCTGCAATCCTAACACTTGGGAGGCTGAAGTAGGAGGCCAGCCTGAACTGCATAGAGATCTTGTCTCAAAAGGGGAAAAAAAGTATACGAAGGCTCAATGTTCTAAAGCTCTCTAAAGATATAGTGGGACAGACCTTGTCTCCAAAAAACAAACAAACAAAAAAAAAATACAACTCTCCAAAAGTGTACAATGAATTACTAAATAATTAAAATCCTCAAAACCTTACATCAACAGTTTCTTTTCACTATCTCTCACAGCCCCTATTTTAGCCAAATTGTTACTATTTCAAAACCTCAAGGCTATATATCAGGGAGCTGGCTAAATAAACATTTTAATATGACTTTTTCAAAACCCAAGATGTTCAGAGAAGGGCAACCAGTTCTTGTCAAAGAAAAGTCAGATTTTACTTTTTTAAGAAAAAAAGGCAAGCTAGCATGCATAAGAGCCACACGCAATTGTCCCACTTCTGATATGAATCACTTGTTTTCCCCCTTCCCATGGTTCACCTTCGGTTTGAACTACTGGCTCAAACCCTTTCCGACCACACACAAGCGCCCCTATCTAAGCAGAGTTGTACACTGTCCTGCGCTGAAAGCAGAAAACAAAAGGCCGACTGGAACACGCGTACATCTCACCGTTAAGATCCAGAACGGCTAACAATTCTATCAAAAAAAAAAAAAAAAAAGGTGGGTGTGGCCCGATTTTGCGGAGGAGTCGCGGGGCCGGCGGCGGCCGCCGGGTCGCGGCCCTCCGCGCTGCTTTCGCTTTGTGCTCACAATGCAGCTCCTGTGCAGCGCTTCCCTCTCCCCGCAGCCGCCGCCATGTTAGACACGCTCTCCATGTGCCCAGAGCGGAGGGACGGCTCCCGTCCAGCCCGGACCCGGCCTCCCGCGGGCCGCGATCGCCGCAGCCCTGCCCCTCTCGGGTCCCCCCGGGGGCAGAAAGACGCTGCCGACAACTACCTCGCGACGGGGCTGAGCCAGAGGCTCGCGGGGACACCTAGACAATTGAAACAAAGAGGGAATCGTAGGGGACTCCATCCGAGGGGGGCGGGGAGCCGCACGGCAAGACCCACTCGGAACCCGCCTGAAGGAGGCAACCCGAGGTTAAAAGGGCTCTCAAGACGCCTCTTCCTCGCCGACGCAGAGGGGCCCCGGGAGTGCACGCTAACGGAGCGGCACATCCCACGCCGGCACACAGGCCGCCCCAAGTCCGCCAGACAGGCGGTTGAGCCCCGAGCCCCCCACCCCAGGGCCTCTTCAGCCTTGCCGACGCAGGCAGGGGCCTCGATGACCCAGCGCAGGCGGCAGGCCCCCACCCCGGGCCATCGATCTCCCGGTACAGCGCGTAGGCCAGACCCGCTACAGGAGTCGGCGAGGCCCGGGGCAGCGCCGGCCGGGTCAGGTGACAGGCTCCTCCCCGGGGCCCGCTTTCCGGGCGCCGAACTCCCTTCCACCGCGGGGACGCGGGACCCAGCGAAGCGGGGCGTCGCCAGCCCTCCCCCTCCCAACGCCAGGCACCTTTTTCTTCTCCAGGTTTCGAAGTTTCTTGTCTATCACCCCGAGAATCTGCTTCATGGCCTCGGTCTGGACCGCGCCGGTGCCGGATGCTGGGTGTTGAGGAGCGGGCGCAGCGGCCCCGGCCCCCGCCTCACTCCCGGAGGAACCCGACGGCGGTGGCGGTCCGGACGACTTGCTGCCGCTTCCGCTGTGGCTGGTGGCCGAGGGCATCTTTGAGACCAAGAGAGAGAAGAAAAAGCGGGAGAAGGACAAGAGCGGCGAGTCAAGACACGGACGGGGCGAGACGCGGGACAAAACGCGCAGCGGGCGGGAGCCTGCGCGAGCGAAGGGGGGAGGGGGCGCGCGTCGCCGCCAGGAAGAGAACGCGGGCGCGCGCGCGACCCGCCAGCGGGGCGCCCGGCCGCCAGCCCGCCCCTCCCGTCCCCTCCCCTCCCCCGCGCGGCCGCGGCCCGGCCAGCCCGCCCCGGGGCACGGAGCTCGTGCCGGAGGCGGAGCCTCGCAGAGCGGCTGCCAACGGCCAAGGCAACGATCCCCACCGGGGCGGGCCCGGGACGCGTCGTCCTCCGAGGGAGGAAGGCAGGGAGGGTGGGGAGCGAGAACGTCGGGGCACGGGTGGAGAAGGGCACTGAAATGACCGGGGTGGGGGGTGGGGAAGACTTGAGCGAGCCCCGCGCGCCGCTCCAGGCGATCAGGAGGCAGAGGGCACTCGGGCTCAGCTGCCCTCTTCCCTTCTGGCGCCTCGGTCCCGGGTGGCGCTCACCGTGCGCGCGCCGAGCCGCTGGAGATCGCGAGGGGGCAAGGGTGGCGCTGGGTTCCGGGCAGTGCCGTGCGCTCCGAGGGCGCCCTGTCCCCGCTGCACCGAGAGCCGCTCCTAGTGAGGCGAGAGCCGGCAGCGGGAGGGACTTAGCCAGCCAGCCCTCCGGGCGCGGGGGGGCGGGAGCAGCGGCCACGGGGCCTTCGAGCCTCTCGGGCTGCCCGGCGCGAATGCCTGCCGGAAATGGCGCGCCGGGCGGCCTCTCCCAGTCCGCCCTCAGCCGTCGCGCCGGGGGGTGCTGCCACTCGCCACAAGTTGCGATGGCCTTTGGGAGAGGCAGCAGTGTTACCTCGCGTGTGGAGCTAAATCGAAGTCGGGGTCCTTCAGGCGAGCTCATTTGACGTCCAAACGGGGACAATAGGTGTCAAGCAGCTGGCTCTGGAGCTGGCGACTGCCCCGTGGAGATCCCTTATTTGGTGGGGGGCGGGGGCAAGTTTCTGCGAGTAGGGGTGCGTGTGGTGGGTGGTGCGAGCCTAGCTTCTAAAATTCCTTCGTATGCCGAGTGAACAGACTCCCTCACCCTAAAAGGTCTTTTGAAAAAAGACATCTCGGCGCATCCCCAGCGCTTCCCCACTAAACAGTCACCCAGCAACCCAGGCGTTCTCTATAGAACGTTTCTGACATGACCATGGTTGGTGGCTTTTGAAGTCGTAAAACTCCAGGTTCCCCTTAAAAATCGTCTTCAGCTACCCCTAGAAGCTGTGTGTTCAACAGTCCTGAGGGTCATGAATAACTAGGCATTTTTTTTCCTTTTTGTTTTAAATTTACGTAAGGCTTCAAAACAAATGTTAAGTGGAATCTTAAAAAAAAGGTAAGAGAATTATTCCAGACTTGGGGTGGGGTAGGTTTGGACAGGGAACAGAGAAATGAGAAAACAAGTGCCGAAGGAAAATGTATTAAAGTGAACATAATCAGTAGAAAATTCAGCAACATATTATATGGCAACAGTAAATAGCCAGTTTGCAATTTAAATTCCATGAAAAAGGGTTCTACCAAACCCACTGTTTTCTGGAGAATAAAATGAGTAATACTAGCTGGCAAAGGAGCCCAGAGAAACCACTGCAGCCTCTGGCCTGGAGATAGTCCAGTTAGCTGCAGTCTGTTATCCATTCAAATATTTATTGAGCAGCTGACTGTGTGCTAGGGACTCTCTGGTGCTAAGATTGTGAGCAAAACAGAAACTTCATTTCCTGGCGCATACAGTCTAAGGGAAGAAAAGACATGATCAGATACTAAAATGATGGGGGTGACTGGGTGCAGGAAAAGCCTTCCGGAGTGACATATGAGCCAGGGCTGAAGGAAGTAGGGAAGAAGGTCAAGCAGTTACCCTGAGGAACAGTTTTCCAGTGGATCTGAAATGAAGTATGTGGGCTGGGCATGGTGGCTCATGGCTGTAATTCAGCGCTCCAGAGGCTGAGACTGGAGGATTGGTCTATATAGTGAGTTTAAGGCCAGCCTAAACTACACAGTGAGACCTTGTCTCAAAAAAAGGAGGGGGTCGGGGAGATAGCTCAGTAGAATAAGCATTTGCCTGGCAAGCGCAAGGGCCTGAGTTCAGTCCCTGGTTCCGCCAAAAAAAAAAAAAGTATGCTTGGGGGGTTCAAGGATCAAAGGATTAGGAAGGATGCTGCAGTGGGAGGGCCAAAGTCAGCACAACAGGGGCCCAGTGTTGTAGGACCTGAGAAGTCACTGTGAAGACTGTCATTGGCAGGGTGAAATGGGAAGGAAGTCCTAGTTTCATGATCAATCTGTGCTTTTAACCGTGCTTGCTGTTGCATAGTTCATGAGAAGAGGGGTAGAGGAAAAGCTGAAGCCAGGAGTTGGGCACAGCGCAGTGGCACTTACCTGTAATCCCAGCACTCAGAAGGTTGAGGCAAGAGGATTGCTGAGAGTTTGAAGGCCTACCTGGTCTATGTAATGAGTTAAAGACCACCCTGAGCTACATAGCCAGACTGTATCAAAGAAACAGCTGAAGCCAGGAGACAGGGCAGGAGGTATTGCCTCTTGTGGCAGTTCTAGGGTCAAAGCCAGCCTGGGCTGCATAACAAGCAAGTTCAAGGCCTGCACTACGTAGCAAAATCTTGCCTCAAAGACATGAGAAAGTGAAAGTTGATCTTCAAGAATTAAGTACCTAAACTATACTTAGCACTATGATAAATAATTATGCAAGGCCTGAAGGCTACAAAGGAAGATTGTAAACCTTCAGCTCCTTGCCAACTCCAAGTGTATTCACCCCAAACATTAGTACTCTTATCCCCACAACCTCAGACCCCAAACCAGATCTACTCAATTAATATACATTTTAACAGGCTCTTGAGTAGTTTTCTATGGACGTTAAAGTTTGAAAACTCACTGATGCCTCAGAACTTGACCAGTTGCTTTGAGAACAGACATGATGTTCTCAAATTTGTAGACAAATTCTCCCCAAGCCTACAAAGTCAGAATTTCCCACCATTGAACCCACCACTTCTGTCTTTAACAAGCCCTCTGGGGGACTCTGATGCTAGCCAAAATATCAGAATCAAGGATGTAGAGACTTTATAATTTGATTTGAGTCGAAAATGGTTTATGAGAAGGTATGCCAAAGAAAAACTCCATGTGCCTTTTCTTGGTGTATTACCTGATAGCAGTTACTTAACTTTGGTAAAGACTCATGAAAGCTAAATAAGGTTTTTGTCAAGAAAAAAAATATTACTGAGGGGGAGCAGGATACATAAGTTAACACATATGACAAAGATTCTCATTGGGGAGTTCATCTTATCACAAAAGGTATCAAGAAAGACCCCAAGCAATAGCATGCCTGGCCCAAGTACATCGTCCCATTCTTACATAGGATGTCAGGATAGCCTCGCATATGTTGTGACTAGCCCGGCCTGGTGGCACATTCCTGTAATCCCAGCATTCAGAAGGCTGAGGCAAGAGAAGGTTTTGCGTTCAAGACCAGCCTGGGCTACAAAGTGAGCTCAAGGCCAGTCTTGCATAGCAAGACCCTGTCCAAAAATTAAAAAAAATCAAGAGTTCTGTAATTACAGGATGTAGTGGCCCACATCTGTAATCCCAGCACTCTTGAAGCTGAGGCAGGAGGACTGTCAAAGAGTTCAAGGTCAGCCTGGGCTACATGGTTCAAGACTAGCCTGCAATGTATCAACTATTGTAACTGTCTTATTACCCTGTTATAAAACTCAGTTTCATTGCTATATTTACCTTTTTTTCTCTCTAAAAAAAGGAGGAGCCTGGACTACATAGTGAAAACCTGTCTCAAAAAAATTTTTGTAAAGTTCTATGATGTACAGCGACATGCAAACTATAGTCCTGTGCCCAATTGGCCCTTTGTCTGTTTTGATAAATAAAGTTTTACTGGAACACAGCCACATCCACTCAAACACATATTTTCTCTACATCTAGAGCAGAGTTGAGGGATTGTAACAGATGGTAGAGTGTACCTAAAACACTATCTCTTCCCTTAAAGAAAAATGTGCAAGGGAGGAAAGAAGGGATTGAAAGGCACATAGGAAAATGAAAAAAGAATCAATCTATATCATGTTTAGATACAAATTCTCTATGATGTGATCCTTATTCGGTTACGTTCCTCCTGTTGCTGGGACAAAATACCTGACATCCAAAATTAAGAAAGGACAGGATTGTTTAGCTCACAGTTTGTGGAGGTTTCAGTCCATAATCAGCTGGCTCCAAGGTAGAGTGGCACATGGCAGAGGGCAACAGTTCATGGTGGCAGAAAACAGCAAGAGCGAAAAGGCAGGAGCAGAAGCATCAGGGGCAGAGAGCAGGCCTCTCTCCGTTCCTTATATTGCATTCAGGCCTTTCATGGGCCTTTCACTCACACTCATAATCCCAGCACTGGATCATGAACTAATCATAAACTCTGGATGCCCACTGCCCCATCACTGCATGAGGCTTTGGGGTGGACAGCTGGGCGCAAACCATAACATTCTGCCCCTGGTCCCCCAAAGACTCATGCCCTTTTTGCAAGACGCATTTTAGTCCATCTCTTAAGAGTTGCCAAAGTGCTAACAGTTTCAGCATTGCTGAAAAGTATAAATCCCAAGTCTCCTCTGAGATGTAAGGCAAACTCTTAGCTGAGAGCCCCTATACAAATGAAAACAAAGTTAAACACTACCAACATTCAATGACACAAGAAAAACATTACCAATTCTAAAGGTACAAACAAAATGATAGACAACATTGGAATCAAAGCGAGTCTAAAATCCAGCAAGGAAACGTTAAATGCTGTTATTCAATGTGCAACATCTGAAGCAATCTGTAATGAGTTATGTGCTGCAAGGCTTTAGGTGGCTCTGCCCCTGCAGCACTTCTGGGGCTTGTAGCTCCCATGGCATCTCTCTTGGGCCTGCTTCACTCCCTCCTTGCAGTTTTCCTTAGATGATCCACATTCCTGGTTTCTTCAAGCTTCTGGGGTCTCCACTGCACTTTAGGCTGCTCACTTACAGCTTCACATACTTCCCTCTTAGGGGCACACTGCCTGGCCTCCCAGGCCTTCTTCTGAAATCTAGGGGGAGGTGGGGGGGGGCTGGGAAGATAGCTCATTGCACAAGTTCCTGAGTTCCATTGCCTGTACCACATGCCATGCCAGTGCTGCAACCAGGTGTGGTGGCACGTGTTTGTAGTCCCAGTGGTGGAGAGGCTGAGACAAGAGGATCACTACAAGTCTGAGCTGTGTGGAGAGAGCCTGTAAATAGATAAATATTTCTTAAAAATGAAATCTAGGTGGAAGCCTTCTTAACCTCACAATCCTCGCATTCTGCTTGTGCCTAAAACCAGCGCCATATGGGTGGTGTGAAGGTCCATGGCTGGCTGGAGCAGTAGCCAGGTTCTCTTCTCTTTTGGCTGTCGGGGTCGGGTGCCTGGATAGCTGAGCACTCTGACCCTGATTCCAAGGAGTAAATTATAACACCACCATTCTGGAACCTGGTATGGCTGTCCCTGGCATTCTGGAAAATGGTACTCTGCAGCTTTCTCCTCAAAGTGAGGTCTTTCACTTTTGTAACTTTGTGGGGCCAGGGAGATGGCTCAGTAGAATAAGCACTTGCCTGGCAAGCGCAAGGGTCTGAGTTCAATCCCCAGTTCTGCAAGAAA